CTTATGATCTCACTCAATTTTTCTTCTTGTGTTATTAATCTACAAGTTGAAAGTCTTTGGAATTCAGTTTGTAAGTCCATTAATCCTGCTGGCCTTTTTCTTCCATGATAAATTTTTTTGTCGTTGTTTTTAGAAATGATGAACAATCCATTAATGCTGGTAACTCGTGATAATGCAACATATAGAAGCTGCTGATTATGTGTTTTATTGTATTCATATACAATTTCATCAAAAGTACCACCTTGTGATTTGTGTATTGTGAGTGCACAAGCAGACACTAAAGGAAAATGATTTCTTTTGGCAAATATGGTTTTATTTCTATTCATTGGAATAGATGAAGATCTCCTGAGAATCGGCACAGCTGTCCTACTGATATTAGGAGTTTGAATATAATGTGCAGCTTTCTTCCTAATTTTGTTACCTATCTTACCAGGAAATTCAAACCATAAACGTAGAAGTTCATCATTATCGCCACGTTCTATGTACACTAATTTTCCTACACAACCATTAGCTAAGCCATCACTTACATCGATATTAGTTGTTATTATGTGAAATTTATTCAGAACTAAAATTATTTCATACGGCAAAGCCCCGGTATCAATAACCGATTTTTGTGAAACTGCTGACGAATGTATGATTGTTGATCTGTCGCATGGCAACCTAAATAAATATCCGTGGCAGTAGATATTATTTTGTCTTCAACGAGATTCAGTATAAATTTATTATATTCCATGATACATTTATTCTCTAAGAAAAGTCTTATTCCATGAGGACATAACATAAAAAACGTGATTCATTAATGCAAGTTCATATAGGGTTTAGCGCTCGACTTACGCATGACATGACGGGATACTCGCGACATCAGCGCTTACGGCGTCGTAGTGTTCAACTTCACGTTGGCGTTTTCGTTGCATTTGTACGGATTTACACCCGTGTAGCCTAAAGAAATTTTTACACCCATATCGCGCCTACAGAAGTTTTACTTCAAAAATTATGAATGATTGTTATAAAAAAATATATATAATGATAAAAGTTACCAATCCATAGTTACAGTATATATCAAATATAAATTATTTCTTATAGCCTTTTTGTGCATGGTCTCCTAATATTTCGGGGACCTTTAAGATCGAGTTTTGCTGCTATGTTAACATGTTAACATATAAATGTTATGAATCGTATAGTTACCACAAAATGAATGAATGCTGTACGAATAAAACATTGTGCGGAAAATAATCGGCAGACTACCAGGGCATCATGCACCAAAATTGAAATAAATGATAAAATTAACAATCGTCAAATATTTGACCAAGAAACAAAAAATTACTGACAACTACTCAGGAAATACTTGACAACTTTTTGGAAAAAACTATTATTGACAAAAATTATTATTATTATTATTATTTTCTCATATCTTAACAACAATCAGAATCTTAGGTCCTATAAGCTTTTGGGCTGAAACTCCGAATTTTTAGATGGTAACCCAATGGTCCATTCATTCATATTTGACGATTTTATTATTAGAATTTGTCTAATAGAGCTGACTTGACAAAAATTAATATACATAAATATTTATAAAGACTAGTAGTTAGTAGTAGTCTATCACGTTCTACTACTAGTAGTAGAATCAGGAAGTTCATGCAACTAGCCTTATGGCAGAATGTCACTTACACCAAGTAAGTGTATTAATATTTTTGCCATTTATAAAATTTTGTTATTTATAATAATTATTATAACAAAAAATAATATGTACTTGTATTACCACACCAAACCAAATCTATATTAGTGTAAAAAATTCTCTTTTTGTATGAAATTTTTCAAGTATGTACAAAAATAGCGTCTGTTACCCTGGTATTTCGTCTGCTCAAATTTGTGCTCAATGTGATTTCGTTACAACATTCGTTTTTATATATTGTTTGGTGTATTAAGATAAGATTAGGAAGTATTATTGCAATGGCAAGCTCTCTTAACTACCAGGGCATCATGCACATTCGAGTGTCGAAAATTAAATATAGAAATTGAATGTGGCCTTCAAAGATTCAGGATTATCATGATCAATGAAAATAATTTTGATTAATTTTGAATTTGAACTACTAATTTAAAATTTAACTTAGTTATGATAATAATTACTATTGGATATATACGTTACACAAAAAATTGATAGTACGTGCATGAAGTTATACTTTTACTAATGTGAAAATGATGCGGAAATTAACATTTCGATAACTAGTGTTGTTTCTTCAAGACTTGTTAATTTTCTTAATACTGCTTTATTAATTAATAGCTTTTTTATACATACTATTTTTAATTTCTCTAAAATCTAGAACATTTTATCACTATCCAGAAGATGTTCTGACCCTACAAAATATTTTCAGATTAACTAGATCACTTTTAAAATACTCAGGACATTATCAGACTATTAAAGACATTTTCAGATTATGTAAAATATTTTAAGATCATCTTCATTTTTTTTTAGACTATCTAGAATATTTTCAATAGAAAAATGTATCAATATATATATTATTTACAAATTTAAATTAAGATACGAAAGATGTTCGAGTTTTCTTCAATATTTCTCGAAAAAAATGCATCAGTGTTAGAGATTGTTCTAGATAAATTTATAATTTCCAGACAACTTACAAAATTTTAATACAAATTGCGATAATTGAAGAGTATCTAGATAATTTTCGTACGATTTGCAACGTTTTTATACAATTTGCATCTTTTTCTTATGATTTGCAACATTTTCTTAAGATTCGCGACGTTTTTGTACAATTTGGGAAGTTTTAATAAAAGTTGCGACATTTTTGTACAATTTGGGAAGTTTTAATGAAATTTGCGACATTTTTATACAATTTGCAACGCTTTTATGTAATTTTTAACATTTATATATTACAGCAATATATTACAGCTATGCAGAACATTTTCAGACTATCTAAAACATATTCAGAGTATCTAGAACATTTTCAGGCTATCTAGAATATTTTCAGGCTATCTAGAATATTTTCAGACTATCTAGAATATTTTCAAATTATTTAAAACATTTTTGGGCCATATAGAACATTTTTCAGACTGTTTAATGCTACTCAGAACATTTTCAGACTGTTCAGAACGTTTTCAAACTATCCAGAACATTTTCAGACTATCCAGAACATTTTAAGACTCTTTTCAATAAAATATTTTCATGCAATCTAGAACATTTTTAGACTATATGAAACAATTTCATACAATCCAGAACATTTTCAAACTATCCAAATTAATTTCAGGCTATCTAGAACTTTGCATATTAGTTAAAATACTTCCAGACTGTATAGAACATTTTAGGCTATGTGGGGATGTCAAGCAGGCTGGTTTCGTTTTGTAAAAAGAATTGGACATGTCATGTATATTTTTGATATCGAAATATTTTTATAGTGAATAAATTTATATTTTTTTTATATGTCGGGAGTTTACTCTTTAATATTAATTACAACTCCCACAACCGAAATCATTTTTAGACTGTTTTAAAACATTTATAAATAATCCAGAACATTTTTAGAACATCTCTAAAATATTTTAAGACTCTTTACATTAATTTCAGACTATCTAGAACAGTTTCAAAACATTCTAGAACATTTTCGAACTATCTATAACGTTTTTAGACTATCTATAACGTTTTTAGACATTTTAAAACTAAATAAACAATTTTAAGACTGTCTAGAACATATTCGGACTATTTATAGATCATCTAGAATTTTGAGACTAATCTAGAACTTTTCAAATCAGCCAAAATATTTCCAGACTTTATAGAACATTTTAAGATTACTGAAAACATGTTTTAAAATCTGTTTCAGACTGTTTAGATAAACCAGAACACTTTTAGTACCTCTAGAACATTTCAAGACTATTTACATTGATTTCAGATTATCCAGAACACTTTTGAACTATATAGATATGTAGAACATTTTAATCTAAATATCTAGAACATTTTACAAAAATATACAACATTTTTGAATTACCTTGAACATATTTAGACTATCTAAAAACAATTTTAAGATAAAAAAATTTAAACTGTCTAGAACCTCTTCAGACCATCCAGAACATATTCAGGCTATTTACAGATTATCTAGAAATTTGAGACTAACTCGAATTTCCAGACTTTCTTGTACATTTTGAGTCCATATAGTAAATTTTCAGACTATCTAGAACATTTTCAGACTACTTTAAACTTTTTAATAGTACCCAAAATATTTTTAAGCTATCCAGAATATTATCAGACTATCCAGATAATTAGACCATCTACAACATTTTTAGCCTATTCAGAATATTTTTAGATTAACTAGAACATTTTTGGGCTATATAGAATTGTTTCAGACTCTCTTAGACTTTTTAATGGTACCCAAAATATTTCTAGGCTATTTAGAATATTGTCGGACTATCCAGAACATTTTCAGAATATGTAGAACAATTATAGATCATCAAATTTCTATAACATTTTCAGATCATCTACAACATTTTCAGACTATTCAGATCATTTTTAGATTATCTAGAATATTGTTGACATATCTAAAGCATTAAAAACTTCTTAATGTTATCAAAAACTTTGCCAGACTGTCTAAAACATTTCCACAAAATCTAACCCTAAAACATTTACTGACTGTTTAGAACATTTTTGGACTATCTATTCTAAAACATTGCCAAGATAAAATTCTAAAAATTCTGAACATTCTTTTAAAATTTAGAGCCTTTACAACATTATGTGTGTAGAATCAAAAGTATAACTTCAAATTTAGAAACAAATATCTTAACCTCATTAATTTATAAAAAAAGGTCAATGTCGTCTTCCACGTGCATCTATTGTGGACATTAATGTGTACATTTATAATTACTAAATAATTAATTACTATCACACCAGAAACTTGCCGTTAAATAATCAAATTAATATCAATACTTATCAAGGTCTAATAATATAATTATAATTTAATCATTATTCGTCCAAAACTTTCACCACAAAGTGTCTGAAAATGCCAGAAATCGTACTACGAGGTCCTTTAATAAAAACCTTGCGTTTGTTGTACCTATTAGGAATACCTATTGGCATGTCGCCATATGAGATAAATAAAAAAGGAGAATTCAGTTTTTCCAAAAAATCTGTGTTCCTGGTATCTTTAGCCATGGTATACCAGTTATTCATCAGCTGGTACATGTTGATGTGTTTCGATTGTGGTAATATTTATAGTTTATCAGGATTGCTAAAATTAGTTCTGGATATAAGTGATTATTTTTGGTATTCATCAAATGTACTTTTGATTATCCTGGAATTTTTTAACCGCAAAGTGTTCAAAAACATTCTTCAAAATTTGCAGAAATATGATGACGTCAAATTTACCAACAGTTTTAGTGATAAAATGGATTATGGGAACCTAAAACGATTTATTGTTTCTAGTCATTTGTTTTTACTGGGTTTGATTGTTTTTGTTTTGTGGAGCGAAGGGGTTGTTTTGGCAGTTGATAGTTTGAAAACTTTGGTTTCTTGTATTTTGTCCAATTGTATGTTGTATTTTGTGACCCCTATTATGTTGTTGAAGGTTTTGACTATTAATTTTGTGATCCAGGAACGATTTAAGGATGTTAATCAGTTTTTGGGAGGTTCGAGGGAACTAAAAACCAAGGTAAGATATATACGTATATATTATTTGTTTGCTCCCAGGGACTCAAATGCTTCCAAATTGATTAAAAATATTATCTGCAAATTTCAAGTCTTAATATTAACTTTAAAATAGTCCGCACTTCAACCAAAGTGTCTTGGTTCGTCTTCCTAAGTGAATACTTACTTTACAAAATACATCAAATTTTTGTTGTAAATTTTTTATTTATGATTAAAATAAGCAAATGGAGTGCAGACTATCTTAAAGTTAATATTAAGAGCTAAAACTTTCAGAGATTTTTTATTTATTAATTTGGAAGCATTTTAGCACCTGGGGGCAAAAAATTCGAAAGTATCCATATTAAGGACCACCTTAATATAATATTTTGTACCCAAAGTTTATAAATGTTGTCAAAATTGCATATAAATGTTGTATTTAATATGACTTTTATTAAGTCATTTATTTTTATACGTTTTTGATATGTAAAATGCTTTTCACGACTACTTAACAAACATATTCCATTTCTAATATTTTTTTCGCCCAAAGCCATACTAATTATTTTATTACATCAATTTCCGTTTAATAAACCCTTTTAATTAACTGGTATATTTTATTGTCAATTTCCTTAATTGATATTGTATTAACTGATGACTAAAATAGATGGAGCGCTAGTGTACATAAAATTAAATCAAATAATCCAAAAATTAAAATTTTATTGTGGACATAATTAAATTTGCATACATAAAATATTTTTTTATTTATCATTAATGTAATTTTTTTTATCATTATCGATAGAAATGAAATGAGAAATTAAGAATTAGAATTCTCATTTTTTTAATTCAAAAGTGATAAGCAAATGCTGACACTTGTCATATTTTTCGGCAAAAGCTATTTTTATTTTTGAAGGTTTATCAAATATTCAAAAAGACAAAAATTTGGATTCACTAAATACTTAATTCGATTCATCAAAATATTCATTTTTGAAATATTCACAATCAAAACTTTAGCAGAATAACTACGATTTTGTACTATTTTGAGCTCAAATTTAACAAAATTATTATTAGTGTCCTTGTAAAAAATACTTTTATACATCTACTATTATTTTTCAAACAAACCATAATGACATATTCGAAGAATAAAATTTAGTTGAAAAAATATTTTTTGGAAATTAAAAAAAAAAATGAAACAAAACAAAAACATTCGTTCGTTTCGTCAACACAATCAGAAAGTTTTTTAATCATACAAATTGAATGCTTATTTCTCTCAAAAACTGTCATTTTTTGCACATTCAGCTTCTTATCACCAAAACTACTAAACCCGTCTTTGCTAAACACTAATCACCACTTTTCCCAATTATTACAAATCGAACGTTTTTTGAATCATTCAAATCGGATACTCCGTTCTCTCAAAAACTCGGTTGACCCGTGCGCCCAAAATCGTGGACGAAAACTTACTGACACACTAAACAGATACATATCATTTAATTCTGAGGTATGCCAAAATGTTCAGAAACCTCTGAAACATGAAGATATGCAAAAAAATTTGTTTTCGATTTTCGGCCCATTGCTATAATTTACCCTACGGGAAGTTAAAAAAAAGTAATAATAAATTATATAATTTGAAATTTAAATTAAATAAAATATTTTAACATTATAGAAATAAACAAGTGATAAACTATTTTATTAATTTTTAATAGAACAAATAAATTGCAAACACAAGGGCTTTGACAGGACTTAAATTTTAATTGTTCCCGCATTCTATAGAGTGCGCCACCATCTGCAGCACGTACTTTCACCACTAGGTTCAAATTCTAGATAAGATTTGAAATGAGAACAAAATAAACGCATATAAAATATCTTTTCAACTAAATCAAAAAAATGTTATATAATAAAATATCACAACAATGAATTATAAAAAAAATTACCTTTTAAAGTACGTGTATTGTAATTAGTGAGTTATTTAAAAAAAAGCAATATACCATCTGTTGAATGCAAAAAACACTAAATCAAGATCAAGAAAATTTGTTCTAAATTTACACCCCCCAGTTAAAACACCAAGCCTTAACAAAAAATCAATAAAATTTACATACACGTATAGGAACCGTCAGATAACTTTTTTTTTTTTTTTGAAAATGCTATATTTATATATACTACTGAATATTTTTTCAATCTAAATCTTTTTTATTTAAAAGTGCAATCCTTCTGGTAAATAATTGAAAATAATTTCATTGAAACAGCTGTTTAACTTTCAAATGGCTGGCAAAAAATTTTAAATTGCTGCCAATAAAGTAAAGTTATTTGACGGACTCTTTACTATCAATACAAAATAAAAATTCAGCAAAATAAATTTTTCAGCATTTTCAGCAACTTTATAAAAAATGTTAACAAAACTACTACCAGAACCCTGTTTAATTATCGCCTAGCAAAACGCAACACAACTTACACAAGCAACGTTTGCGTTTAGAACACAGGTTAAAAAAAATCATTCTACATTATAATTTTATTAAAAAAATATATATTTATTTTTAAATTTAAAAAAAAATGTCTAAAATAATAACAAACGGTTCCTTAACAAAAACATTACGCCTAATATACCTAATAGACTTACCTGTAGGCCTGTCGCCTTATATAATAAACCGAAAAGGCGAATTGTACTTCCACAAAGTTTGTACATTTGTTTCTATATTTGTATTAATTTATTTAATAACAATTCCAATAATTGTTATTAATTATTTAAACGCAAGTGCAATTGAAAAAAAAACTTTGATCTTACAAATTGTGATGGACGTTCAAGACAAATGTTGGTACTTCATGAACATACTTTTAGTGTTTTTAGAACATTGCAACCGAAAAAAAATTGTCAAAATTATAAAAAACCTACAAACCTACGATGACATGAAAGACCTAAATTATTTCAGTGTCAAATTTAATTATAAACAACTACAAAAATTTATTATTAAAATCCATGTAACAGCTTTGTTGTTCTTGTGTTCTGCAATGGCAAGTGAAATAGTGGTAGCTTTGAGGGGTGAAAATGTAAAGTCTTATTTTTTGAGTTTGTTGATTAATTTTGCGATGTATTGTGTGAAACCGTTTATGTTGATGAAATTTTTCACGATTAATTATATGGTTGAAGAGAGGTTTAAGGATATCAATTGTTGGTTGGAGAAATCAAGGAAAATTATGTATAAGGTGAGAAGATTTATATTAGGGTGGTTTTTGATATGGATTTTTAGGAATTTCTTTGTTCCCAGGGGTTTAGATGCTTTCAAAATGATAAACAAAAATCCTCTGAAAATTTTAGCTCTTAATATTAACTTTAACATAGTCCGCACTCCAACCAAAGTTTCTTATGGACATAACATGTGTAAAATTCCATTTGTTTTTTAGAATTTTATAACAAAGCGACAAGTGAATCAAAATTTTGAGTATTACACTGTATTTGGTTATTTTGATCCAAAATAAAAAAATTATAACAAAAATTTGATATATTATATAAAATAAGTATTTACTCAGGAAGAACCAAGAAACTTTGTGTGAATTGCGGACTATCTTAAAGTTAAATTAAGAGCGAAAACTTTCAGATATTGTTTTTTTATCAACTTAAAAGCATTCAAAAATATCCATATTAAGGACCACCTTGATATTTATTTTATATGACTGACATAATGAAAAACATTTAGAGAAACTTGGCCGGTTATTGGCAACTAAACTATAACTAATTTATAATATTTTATTCAAAATACTAAATAATACGTGTTTTATAAAATTCATAAAAAACTCCAAAAATATTATAAAAAAATATTTGACCAGTTAAATTAAAAAAAATAGACTTAACACATACATAATATTTATTTTTAATTTATTATTTTTAAAAGATTTCAGTGCAAAAACAATAAATAACTTACCTTGTGTGATAATTTTCTAAGACACAAGAACATGAAATCTAGAGTTCCTCAAGGTAGGATCGTAGGCTCCACTTTTGTGTTTTCCCTCAACTCATCTGCAAAATATTAATAAAACAGTTAAGTAGATGATAATGTTTAATTAAATAGTTAAAAAATATACTTAATAATGTTATAAAAAGTATGGTTGAGTCTATAAATACAACAAAACGATTTTAAAAAGTTTTATTTAAAGTATTGACCAAAAATATTTGCAAACATGTAAATCCTGAGTATTTAGGAAGAACCAAGAATCTTTGTTTGAAGTGCGGACTATCTAAAAGTTAATATTAAGACTTAAAACTTTCAGAGAATTTTTTTTTACCATTTTGGAAGCATTTGTGCCCCTGGAATAAAAAATATTCGATAACATCCATATTAAGGACCACCCTAAATATATATATATATATATATATATATATATATATATATATATATATATATATATATATATATATAATGTGAGTGCTTCTTCATATTTATTTTGTGTTTATGTCTATCATCTAATTTATTTATGTAATTACTCAAGTAATTAGACAGCTTTTTCCCTCATTGATATTATTTTACTTCCAATAATTAATATTAATTTACTTAGAGAATAATTACACGTTTTGTCATTTGCTAAACTAGTCAAGTGGAAAATTAATAAAAAAATTGCTAATATTCGTATATTAGAATTAGTAGTAGTTAATAATTGTTAATTAATAATAATAGTGTCGATATCTTTTTAATAATACATAAGAGAAATATTACAAATTAACATAAATTTATTAAAAAAAAAAATAATATGAGAAGGTTAGTATGAAAAATAATAAATAGATCGTTAAATGTTAAAGTAAATAATACTATTAATAGGTCTAATAATAAAATAATAATAAATAAGTCATGAATAATAATAAATTAAATAAATAAAATGTTATATATTAAAAAGTTAAAGAACTAATTAATGTTTTAATATACAAACAAAATTTGCAAAAATGTCTGCAAATTAATTACTTAAAAAAATTTAAATATAGAAAACTTTTGTAATTTTTGCTGAGTGTAAAAATTATCTTGAAACATCTTAATGAATATCTAAATT